CTTTAATGTTAATGTCTTCTGGTAAATCCATATGAGGCTTAATGATGTCATCTGGCGGATCTACTTCACAACTGGCGTAGTCTTTAGGACGGAAGTAATTGGAGTTCAGGGCACCTACTTCTAAGGTTCTATCATCAACATCTAAGATGTCTTGTGCTTCTTCTGGAGCACCTTGAGCTTCTTGAGCTTCTTCACTGGTATCAGAAGGTTGTCTAGACAGTAAGTCTGCACAACAATTATACCTGCCCTCTATATATTCCACCTTACAGTTATATGCTGCCACACTAAGAGCCCACATAGACAGTTTCTTATTTGTAGTCTTTTTATCTGAGAAGATGTAACAAAGTGGTCGATGGTCAGTCCTTATTACAAATCTACTATTATGTAAGTAATTGTCAAGCTTTTGTAATGCGTACACTACAGCAAAGGCCTCCTTCTCGATTACAGACCACCTTCTTTGTGTTTGACTGAGCTTATGTGACAAGTAATATATTGGCATTTCTTCACCCTCTTTCTTCTACGTAAGACATGCGCCTATGCAAGAATCTGAAGCATCCGTATGAAGGATATAGTCTTGGCTAGGATCTGGGTAAGCCAGTAATGGTATTACTGTTAGACTTTCCTTAAGAAAATCAAAAGCATTTTGGCACTTTTCTGACCATTTGAATCTTGCATACTTCTTTGTTAAGTCTATGAGAGGTTCAGCTATCTTGGAAAAATTGGGTATAAATCTTCTGTAGTAGCTACACATTCCAATAAATCCTCGTACTTCTCTGACACAAGTTGGAGATGGTAAAGTTCGAATAGCTTCTACTTTCTTAGTGTCGGGTTTTACTCCTTCATCTGTTATAATAAACCCAAGATATTCAGTTTCGGTTTGAAAGAAGCTGCATTTCTTAAGTTTTAACTTGAGCCCATGTGCTCTTAGCTTCCTAAATACTATCTGGATATGTTTAAGGTGATCCTCTGGTGTCTTACTATAGATCAAGACATCATCAAGATAGGCAGTAGCAAACTGCTCACATTCCTGTAAGACAATGTTCATCAACTCTTGGAACACAGCAGGGGCATTACTTAAACCAAAGGGCATCCTGTTGAACTGGAAAAGACCTCTATGGCAAGCAAATGCTGTCTTAGGTTTACTTTCCTCGTCTAACTGAACTTGCCAATACCCACTCTTCAAGTCTAAGGTAGTAAAGTGCTTTGATTGGCCAAGAAGGTTTAAGATGTCATCTATCAAAGGAAGTGGTACTGACATGGGTGTCACAATCTTATTTAGACTTCTAAAATCGACACACATCCTTTTGCTGCCATCTTTCTTGTCTACAACAACAAGACCAAAGGACCAAGGACTTCTTGACCTTTCAATTACTGTAGCCTCTAACATCTCATCTATGGCTTCATTTATGACATCGCGTTTGTTGAGTGGGGTGCGGTATGCACAATTTCTTATAGGTTTGTTGTTTCCTGTGTCAATATGCATCTTCACTGTGTCAGTATGACCTAAATCTGAGTCTTTCTTCGCAAATAGGTCTCTATTTCTTTTAAGAAGTTTAATAGTGTCTTCTCTATATTTTTCTGGTACACTTACATCTTTTAAATCCTCCTTACTGTTGCCATTTTTGTCAGTTACAGTTGCACTACTTATGTCTTTTGTTTCTACAGCTGTTGCCTTCCCTACTACACTACCACGTCTTAAGGTCATTGTTCTATTGGTATTGTTAACTAATAAGACTGGTATCTTAAAGGGATTTTTTACCTGAGCTATGCTTTCCTGTAATACTACCCCGGGTTCATTATTTATACAAGGTGTCTCTTCACTTGATATTTCAGGAGAAATATTCAGTAATCTTGACTTGGGCACTTCAAAACTTCTAACAAGTTTAATATTGCATATGGTAGCTGTTTGTGGTCTTAAGACAGTTTTCTTGGTGATGCGAATTATAGAAGCAATATGTACATCTTCCTCTAAGGGAACATATGTCTTTCGTATACGCATGCATGCCAAATCAAAGTACATTCTAACGCCATTTTTTCTTAACCAATCTAGTCCAAGAATACAGTTCCTATTCATTCCTTTAACAACATAAAACTTGTGACTTAAGGTCATGTTTCTCATTTGAAAAGGAAGTTCAACAGAACCTATTACCTCGATTGGTGTACTACCGACTGTCTGGAGGGTTATGTTTTCTTTTCTTAATCTTGGCTTCTTTGGAAAAGTCTTTAAAATCCTATCATTAATAAGGGAAACCTCAGCTCCAGTATCTATCAAGACTCTAACTCTTTGTTTACCTAATTTTATCACAGTTGTACTTGGGTTACCTGATATATTTATTGTCTTAGATACAGGATTACTTAACCTAATTTTCCTCTCTCCATCGGTTTCCTTATGGGGAGAGGTTTTTAGTTTAACTGAGTATTTCTTGGGTAACTACCACTTAGGCGAGGGCAATTTCTTTTTATAAGTCCTACGTTATTGCAATGCCAACACACTAACGTGGGTGTATATAACCGGTTGTTTTCGTGATTGTCTTGTCTTACGTCTTGTCTTAAAGCCTGTACATGATTAGATTTAGGAGGAACTAATGGTGGTTTTGCTTGAGAGCTGTTTGTTTGGGTGTGGCTATTGTCTTTATGATTCCTTGGATGTTGGAACCAACTTTGTCTATCCGAATTGTACTGTCTGAACCTTGGTCTGTCTCTAGAAATGGGGTGTGACCTTGCCATAACATTATCTCTTTTACATCTATAGCATTGTCTTTGTCTTGAATGGTCTATTTCCATAGGAACAATTTGTCTTGGGTCGTTGTCAGTATGTCTTGAGACTGTTTTTGGTTACAATCTTTGGGAATCTACTTTATGAAAGACATCACTGTCATCTTTTCTTAAATCAAACCGTTTTCTTAAGTTTTGTTCCCTCATTGCTATGCCTACAGCGTCTTCTAAAGTCTGGGGGTTTTCTCTCATGACTTTCATTTTAAGGTAGTCATATGCCAACCCGTCGCAAAAGGTATTAACTAATTGCTGTTGCACTATTCCCCTATCATTGTCTTGAGCATTAGTGTAAGCATCTTCAGCTATCTGTAGAAGTCGTTCTGCAAATATTTGCACACTTTCAGTGTCTTTTTGCCTAGTTTTTCTCAACAAGGCCAGGGCCTGTTGTGAGTCTGTTATCTCAGCAAACCTTTGCTTTAATAACTTCTTTAAATCCTCCCAACTAAGGATTCCATCTCCTTCCATAGAATCAATGTACCTTTTAATAAAGTCACCTACTGACCCCGTACTTGTCTGGTAAGCTATATTTGGTGTGGACCCATTGTCCAACCCTACCAATTTAGCATATTTTTCGATTTCTTTGATCCAAGCCTTAAACTTTGAAGGGTCACCTTCAAAAACCTTTACTACTTGAAACACACCCTGTGCTGTCATAGCCGCCGAAAGACTTTTGAACTGTTGCGCCATGCTTCTTATGAGTACCTCCCCATCATCTTGAAGAGTCCCTCTCCCAGGGGCACTTGAGGGTGGATTTCCTGAGGGGGAAGTCTTTCATTTAACTGGGGGGTACCTAGGTTAGCCATTCTCTCAGCAATACTATTCATTTCTACATCTGATAACAAGCTAACCATGACGTCATAAGATATCCTACTTCCCTTACAATTAATAACCTAATTGTAAACAATTGAAGATGCTGCCAAAGGTCAGTGATAAGGTACAAAATGGGAAAAGAGTTCCACCTACCTTATAAGAGCCAATCCAGTTAAGATGTTGTTACTGGATCCTGGTCACGGCACCAAATCACCTCTTGTAACCCCACTGTGCCCCCGCTCGCGTTGTGTTTCCCGAAGAAAAAGCCAAGTCCAAATTCCTTTCTACTTGTTGTTTATATAGCACAGTGAAGTCCACAAGAACGCTCGCTCCCTATCACGCTTCCGTAGAGTCAGTCCCACAACCGGAAGTTGTCCCGTTGGCATTCCTAGATCCAAGTGCAATGAGCAGCGAAAACTGCCCAGTATTTATAGGGGAAGCCAAAAGTCGGAAACTCAGCAGGTGGAAATTCCTCAAGAAAAATGGTTGATCCTGGCGACCCAACCATATCAAGATTCTGTCAAAATTATACCGATTTGGACACAAAATGCAGAATCTTGGCGCCATTTGTTATTGTGTATGGGATAAGTGCTGATGGATTGGGGATGCACATTTAGTGCAACGACCGTTGATTGGTCCATTCCCCAATCCCAGGAAGCTATTGTCTGGAATGACAATTGGTACTACCAGTCTTCAGACCCACCGCATATTGGTCATTATTTACATATATAATAATCAAATACTTAACAATTACACAGAACCTAACATCTGCTAAATCGGTCATGTTTACCTTACATACTCATAATGCTGTACTAAGCAACTATATACAATTCACTATCTAAACTATTATTTTCTCATGACCTTGAAATATTTTATGTTATAATGATACAATCATCGTTACTCTAACTGTACTGCACGGTTTATATATACACATCACATTTGTTTATATGAATTCTGGCTACCATTGTTTACATAAGTCCCTACTTGGCTATGCAGTGCTGGACAGGTAAAGGTCATATTTGGTGCAATATACTATGTACATATTTAACACTCAATTCCTGTTATAAGCTAAATTAAACAACAAGAAATTCATGGAAATTATTATTTTCATATTTTAAATTTCCAACCAACATTATATACAATAAAATACTGCTTCCTGTTCATATAACCATTTCCGGTTTAACAACAGAGTGATCTACTTGATAGTGTCACAAGTAATCCAATATGGCGGACGCAGAACTCGGGAATGATAACCCCAAGAATGGCATGTTCCTGTGTATAATGCGCACCCCCTTTTTGACACGACGGTTTTAGCTTGAAAAAGTGCGCACTATACGCGAAAATTTACAATAATTTTTAAGGACCCAGTCTATACACACTTGTACAAATAGGTTCCTGACCTCAAACACACTTACCCTGACTGGATTCCGGTACATTGCCATCATACCTTTTGATGGAAATGACATGGCAATCACTCTCTCTGTGAAATTAAAACCAATTTATCATCTTTTTTTGTTTTTCTTAAATGTTAATGAAAACCTTTAAATCAAAGACAACTTGTTCCTTGATTATTTATTTAGTAATTTACATCAAGATGTCGTTATTACAGCAATTCAACAACTGGGGTCAAAGTTTCGCTGATTTTGTTTAGTTTCTAGACATGAGACATTTAGATGATTTTCAAATTGATCAGCTATCTAGATTACCAGATATAATCAAAATTTACCTGCAAAATCCTGTGTTAAGCTGTTACACTCTGCAATTATTTGATACACCTCAAAGTTTACCTGTAAGATCCTGTGTTAAACTGTCATACTTTGCAATTATCTGATATGTTGTATTATTTTACCTGTAATATAGCAAAGATCCAAATCAAACCCATTCTTTTGGTATCGGCGTTTGTTCTGTGACACCACACGACGAGACGCTGTTGCTACATGACGTTGTTGTTGAACCATAAGGTAGATAATTCGCAATGCTCTGATGATCCTTACTACTCGACCAATCACAACCAACCTATAACATTGAATTTCAATCTTCACTTGTGACAACATTACAAATATTTCTCCATTGAAGACTCTGACTCTCAGTATCAATAAGAAAAAACCTACCAAATTGCTTGAAAATGAAAATAAGCAAGACATTATTTCTATGATAGTTGAAATGTGCAGGTGAGTTATACACATTTTTTGGCCTGTTGTCCTGAAAAAAGCTATAAGTCTACAAAGCTCAATTTTGGTCTGTAACAAAAATAGAAGAAAAAAGAATTGTTTTTCGTCTTCTTCACCAGAGGTTGATCTATGTTAAAACATCACTTTATTGGAGAAAAGGAGGTTGTTAACAATTGAACTCTGCTTCTGCTCTTGTCCCTTCTCCAGTTAGGGCAAGATGTAGTCCACAACCTCTGCATATGTAATATTTTGTTACGTTTCGCCGAAGGAGCTCTAGTTATTTTGTTCAAATCCATTATCCTTACTTCTCCAGTCGTTCAGACAAGTGGGGAAACGGTATGAGACCGAGGGAAAATGGAAAGTGTAATAACATAAACATTCACCACTACTTTAGACACGGTGACCTTAAGTTATCAATCATTCTATATCATCACTATCAAAAATGAAAGCCTACCGGAGATAGTCCATGTCCGGATCATTCGTAGATAAAGCAATAAACACCATATCCAAAATGAAAGACACAACTACGACCCCTCCATCTATCATATCTAGGATGCTGGTGAAAAACAGGCGCCTGTCAACAAAACAAGACAAAACAGGATAAAAGTAAGAGAAATCATAACTCTTCCATCTATAATACATGTACCCAGGATGCTGGTGAGGCACCTGTAAACAAATCACTGACTGATAAATTTAGAGGACGTTTCTGGATTCAGTCTACACTTTCAGTTTCAGTAGATACTACATCATGTAGAAGGAAGACTAAAAGCATATTATAATTCTGATAAAATTTTGTTTCTGTACTAATTATTTAGTATGTGTCATCATTATATTTCATTATATTTCATAGCGAGCATCGACAAATACCGTATTTATTCCAATAAACGCCCCGGTGGCGTGAAATTTTTCAGACAGGGGGCGATTAATAGAACACAAAATTTCATAATTTGTTGGTCGTGACATGCCATGGCTGCTACTTAAAACCATTGTTTAACAAACTAACAAATTACTCAGCAAAGAATGCATTTGAAAATTGCAGTAATTCCAACATCGTTGTAGCTTTAAAGATTGTTGTCAATTGCATTCTGATAACCTGAATTCTTGTATGAAATACATTGTGTCAGCTTCAGTCAAAAAACGTACAATGTTCATCATCGCTTGTAGGCCTAGTTTGCATAACAAAATAAAAAAACACAGCGGTATATAAGCCAGTCTGTTTCTTAATAAATCCCACATACCTGATAACAATGTCTGGGACAAAACGAAATTACGACACTGCTTTCAAGCTTAAAGCAATCGCCTTCGCAGAGGAGAAGGGTAAACATGCCGCCGCGAAAGTGTTTTGTGTTGACAGAAAACGAGTGCGGGACTGGTGTCAAAACAAAGAAAAATTAAAAAAATCTTTCTAAAACATCTAAACGCTGTAAAGGAGGTGGGAGGCATGTCAGATATAAAGATATTGACAAAAATCTGATGAGATGGCTACAGGACAGACGGGAGGCCGGAATACGAGTGACTGGGAAAGCATTGCGGTTTGAGGCCCTGCATATGCATAAGGCAAATGGTAGTCAATCGTTCAAAGCCTCATATGGATGGTTTTCTAAATTCAAAAAGAGACATAACATTTCGTTCAGGCGATCTACGCATGTGGCACAACATAAAGTTTCATTAATTGATGATCGTATTGACAGTTTTTTTAATTTCGTGTTAAGAATGCGTCGGCTACGAGAATATCCGATAGCCATATCGCTAACATGGATGAAACCCCGGTGTGGTTTGACATGCCAGGAAAATCGACATTGGCAATAAAGGGGAAAAGGAGGTCAGAGTTTACAGTACTGGCCATGAAAAACAAAAAATAACGGTGACACTGGCAGCATATGCCGATGGGACTAAAATTGCCCCCCATGTGCACATGCCAGGCATTCGTCCCCTTCCGAAAGATGACATACCAAGTGGTATTGTGGTATACATGTGCGGGGCTGGTTCATCAAAAATATAATTCAGACATCTGTGTTATACCCGGAGGATGTACATGTAAGCTACAGCCAGCCGATGTGTCGTGGAATAAACCCTTCAAACAAAAACTTTGAGAGTTGTATGACGAATGGTGTTTCAGTGGCCCCATTGAGAAAACCAAAGCAGGGAATCATAAAGCCCCATCTAAAGTTGTAATGTTGTCTTGGGTCAAGACAGCATGGGATAGCATTAGCCCGGACACAATCAGAAGATCGTTAAAAAAATGCGGTATCACAAATTCGCTGAACAGTAGCGAGGATCATATTTTCCAGCATGATTCTGATGATGAGGAATTCCAGGGGTTTAGTGAAAAGGATGTCCAAGCTGCAGATGACGTTTTGCAAAATTTAATGGGTGATGTGAATGCACCTTTTATTCCACAAATAGAACCGAGTGAAAGCGAGACTGGCGAAAGTGAAAGTGAAGACAGTAGTTCGTACGGCAGTCCCAGCCGTTAGGCCTGCAGTGTATTGAAATGAACCGTGGATTAAATTGATATTACTTGTGCACATGTCGTGACAGTGTAATTTTCTTGTGCCAAAATTCATTTGTTCATGTTCATGGATACCAGGAATTTAAAATTTATTAAAAGGTAAGCTTTGTAACCTGACTCCTGAGTTGTTGAAATTTACTGAGAAAACATGTGGGGGGTGTTTATTAGAGATGGGGCGTTTATTGGAATAAATACGGTACTGATGTCCGAGGCATTACTACATATCAGATGAAAAAAAAGACATGGAAATTATGGTAAGTGACAGTAATGGGACATAATCAGATGTTTGTCTGTTAGCATCTCTTCAATCATCCCCTGATAACACAGACTTTTCATGATATTTGATAACATTCATTACACAAATAAAAAGAACATGTTGCACTATGTACACTTTTGGAGATATATTCACAAAGTTATAAATAGTCATTACCAACATAGATTGTCATCGATAACCATTAGTGATAGGAAATCTGTTAAAATCAACAATCGATTATCAGTCAAAATCTGATAGGCTTTTTTAATGTACTTAACTGATCACATAATGACTGACTGTTCAATATTCGTGCATTCTTTGCGGCAGCAAGATTTTCTATTTTGCAACCTTAATGAGAAAAACCTCACGAAGAATATACAAAGAATGAATATTATTAACAATTGGCATATTTATGATGCATAACATGAATTAAGTTTTTGTTAAAAAAATATCAGATTGGATGAGGTAAATGATTAGATATTCCATTATTAATATCCACCTACAGCTTCCATATCAATGAGACATTTAATGTAAATGGTTATAATAACAGTTTTCAGAAGAAAGAGAAATGAAGTAACATTATTGACAACAGATTCTTGTTACTTACTCCTGATAAAATATTCGTGCTGCCACCTCCAGCAGGAAATAAGTGATGATACAATGGGAGACAATCTCCAGACCACTACTAGCATTGTCAGTTTCAGCCAGTCCAATGATGGTCAGGACGAAGTCCAACAATATCAACAGCACAGTAATGATGCGGAATATTACATTCTCAATTACAGCCTTGAATTTGGACTGGATTAATCTGTGGGAAAAATTACATTACAAGGAAATAAACCTTTTTGTATGAATAACAACAGCTCCTCGGAACTGTGTGTGTCGCCTGCATAAAGTGTCACAGTCACCCAGAAATTGAACTGGATGTGCAACGTTCAACCATAAAGTTATAATACCAAATTTCATTTCTATAACTTGAAGCATAAAGGGAAAACTGCGCAAAGCAATATTCTTGAGAAATTTTCCAAGTTCAAAGGGGCATAACTCAGCCAAAAAGGGTCACAGACAGCCAGGAATCATTCTTAATCTGTATCCTTGCAACCAGAAGCCATATACCAAATTTCATTTTAATAACTCAAAGCATAAGCCAAAAAAGTCAAGAAAACAATATTCCCAGGAAATTTGAAATGGGCATAACTCTGCCAAAAAAGTATACAAACAGCCGGGAATCGAATTTAATCTGTGCCCTTGCAACAAGTAGCCATGTACCAAATTTCATTTCGATAACTCAAAGCATTACCGAAAAAAGTCTGGAGATTTTCGTACGGATGCCGAAGCCGCCGCCGCGTGACGACTGACAAAGCGATCCCTAAGTGTCCGCCAGCTCTGCAGGCGACACAAAAACTGTATTTATGAATATAAATCATATATTCCATACACACAACAACAAAGAATCCTAGTTATCTAACAGAGAAGTATCAATAAGGTAAAGAATACTGTATGCTATATTGATATGTCATAGCACACTATATCTCATCTCAAATAGGTATCCCATTACATTATTACACATCCAAGTCTCAGGGTATCAATACATTATTACATGACCTAGTTTCAAATAGTCAATATCTCATTACATGACCTAGTTTCATATAGTTAATATCTCATTACATGACCTAGTTTCATAGAGTCAATAACTCTTTAGATGACCTAGTTTCATAAAGTCAATAAATTATTGCATGACCTAATTTTTGATAATTGTTTCATTACAATCTCTATCAGAATAAGTGTTTTGTTTACAGATCAGAATTATCATCTTTATTTTACTTTTCCTCATACTACCTGATTTGTGATTGGCCAATTCTTCAGGAAATGCTGCAGTAGTTGTTTTTTTTTTTTTACTTCTACTCTGTTAATGATGTTTATCAATAAAAACTTATTAAGATTGTTTGGCTTTCATTGTGAGCAAATACATACTTCAATCCAGTAAGTTGAACTTTCTGTGCAGGATCTTCAATGTACTCTAAGCCAGGTTTGTTATCAGATTCATAGAATTTCACTTGTCCTTTATCAACAGGGTTATCAACTTGTATGTGTGTGTCTTGAATCTCTCTACTTTCCACTCTGGTGACATCAATTTCAGCTGCTCCTTCAGGCTCACCCCGATCTGAGTCAAACCTTTCATAGTTACTCATGCTGACCTGAATACTACAACATATGAGTTCTCATTATAGCATAATAAAGTATCAGTTTTTCAAAATTAAAGTCCTTTCAATCACCAATTGAATATATGAATTGTTAACCTGTCAAAAAATTACAGCACACCTACAGTACAATTCAGAGTATTTTGGTAACACAATGCATAAACATAGCTCAATGGTTGGAGTCTCAAGTTTATTTTTGCAAATTCAGGAATGTAACATTTTAATCCTAAGCAAAAAAAAAATGTGTAAAAAATAAAACCTTATCATTTTTACTTTATTTAATCATTGAGTATTATTGTTGAATTGAGTTGATTACAGCATATCAGGATGTCATAAGATGCTCAAGGAAAAGTAGAGCATCTTATTACCTGAGTATCATATATCAAACAAGTTCAATAATTTGATATGACCCTTTAGGTGAGTTTGATATTAATTCCATATTAAATCTACATAAGTGTAATATTGCATTTAAGATATAACCACTATTTATGGAAAAAAAATACAAACAATCTTTAATTTCAAACACTATACAACAGGCTTATTTAGATACAGAGGGAATGTGTTACTGAGACAACCATGTGATGTCATCAAGATACAACTTACAATATTTATTACATGGCCATATGATTTGACAAAACAGGCTAATTATGTGATAAACATGTTTATTTCTAGTAACATAACTAACAATCTCCTGATTGTAGTGAAATTATCAGTTATGATAGGTTCATCATCATTGAAAGAGTGTATTTTTCATGCAATCAGCACAGGACCAGTCTATGGTAAAGATTTCCCTACTCCCCAACAATCTTGCGCAGACAACTGCATATCAAATGTACACTATATTTAAACTTTTGATACAGAGAAATGGTTTAAAGACTTTATGATACTGACTGGTTAAATTATGGACAGGGGTTCAACATGCAGATTCACCAATGCAATCAAGCAGACTTAAAACCTTGTGTACGTGTGCAAGTACATGGAAAAACACATTCCAGTGAGTGCCCGACCAGGAATCAAACTTGGGTCTCTGGCATTAATCCATGTCTCACTGAACCAAAGTCAAAGAAATATTTCTTGATCACTATGTATAAGCCATACCAATCTGCTCCTTTTACGTCTGTAGGGCCAGCTTATAGTCCCGAATATGTTTAAGTTGAGAGTTCAGGTCACTTAATTAGTCTCAGCTTTCGTGAGTTTTCCTTTAGTTCAATGGTAGAGAGTCTGGCTAGAGACTGAAGGGTCGCTAGATCGAATCCCAGCGGGGTATACGACATACAAATGATAAATACATTGTATATGGTATAATAAGATTACAGCATTTTTTTCTTCTTTGATTCCTCTATATATGAAAGACCTATCTGAACCATTTGACGTGTTTAAGGTCCATCACACCAGCACCCAAAACGTGTCGTCGCCTGTAATTCGTCTAGTGGTGTCTGCGACAGTGAAAAAGGGGGTGTTTCTCAAGCCTCTTAAAAAAGCGTCTGCTTCACGACATTATTTATGATACAACTCACTCAGTCTATAAAATGTGTTGACTTCTAAATGTAACATAACGCTTATAGTATTCAAGATTACAAATTTTTCAATCACCTAAAACTTGTTTAAGTTGTTTTCCGCTGAAATGTCCCCTTCACATCCTCGAGATAACTCCTAAAGTTTACCGTCTCCCGACTCAGTATCTAGCAATACTGTTACATGGAATTTCATTGGATAATGGTTTTAGGTAAACCAATCGTAACAACAATAACAAAGGAAGTTTGGTAGGAAAGAGGCGGAAGTGGCGAAAATGAGATGAACTATCAGGCGAGATATTGAGAAATGTAGATAGGTTAGGATTTAACATGGAAGATATTTTAGATCAAGTGAAAAAACTTAGTGCAGACGAACTGAGGACGCAGCTGAAGGAATACGGAGAGACTGTCGGACCTATTTTACCTACGACGATTTCATTATTTCAAAAACGGTTGGCGAGAAAAATCCTTGCATCCCATCAAACAACTTCGACCACGATTTCAAAACCTTCCATTGATGACAGTGCAGTCACTTCATTGTCAAAAGGAAAAGAAGGGAAGAATGACAGATGTATTAATGGGGCCGTTGTTAGGTCCACTAATTCTCAACCAGAATCATCGACAGCATCGAATGGTTTGGCAAGCTTCAAAATTGTTCCAGAGGGTGAAAAATCTCAAGATAACAAAACGAAGATAAATTTGGAAGCATGTCATTTTTATGGAATCAGTTTACCTGCAACTATCCATAAGGAAGAGATCGAAGGTGAAAAAATATTGACTGTAAACACGACTTAATTGGGATAATAATTCCATTATCCGTCTAGCTGAATTGTCTAGACAGTCCACTCTGTGTGTTTCTATTGATTTTCCGACAACTTTCTCGCTGACCATCAAAGTGCATTGTTTTAATTACATCAGCTGGTCTTAAATTACCATAACATACTGTCAAGTGAGTCAGCATTATAGCACACATGCCAGTAGTATCATATTTACACATTAACAACAAATTTTTAAAAAAATGATTTAGACTGGCACTGATCTGTGATTTATATATAATAAGAAAATATTGTTTCCAAAATCTTCAACATTTTGTCATGTGACATGAATATGGGTGGTGTTCAGTGGTGGTTACGTGTGTAATATTCCTTCATGTTATTTTTCAAGGGATTAGATTTTATGCATTTTAATACGAATAACAGGTAAGGAATACCCTGCTAAGCATTAATAGTTGCAGCAACTGAACAATAAAAAACTGTTATGCCAAAGCTATCCACATCTCTTTAAAACATGTCCAAGAAAGTTTGCCAATCCGACTTATATTATCCTGTAGTTTGTGGTATTTATTACTCTTTGAAACAAGGATGTAATCTTGATATTTGTTTTTGCAGAAATTAAAATATTTCCTCAGTTATTTGGCAGGATGAAATAATAATAAACTTTCATTTGTTCAGTCATTGAAAAATTACGATGATATTTTCACCTTCTGGAAGATCAGAAAGAAAGTATATACACTATCAATACATACATTGATGTTTATTTACAGATAAATGCTTTGTCTTTACTGATAAAGATCTGGCCTTGAAAACAGTTAAGAAATATACTGGAGCACGTTTCAAAGTATTCAAGTCAAAGCCGGAAGCTGATGAATTTTCCCTTAATTCTGCTGATGTCAACTCTCCATGGAAAAAAGAATCGAAGGTATGTCATGGGAATTATCTGTCACTTGGTCATACAAGTATGATGGAAACGGCAGATCTCCAATTCAATAATATTTCACAAACAGGAGATTGTTGATTCATTCATGTTATGTAAATTGAATCATTTTTTGCTGATAGACATCTTAACACAAATAGTAAATTTATTTTTTTGAATTCTCCAGTCTACAGTAGAAATTTTCACTGGAGGTTGCCAAATTGACTGAAATATCTGAAGTCTCCAGCCCAAAACGGGAGACTTGACAGCATACTGTGTCGCAGGAAATAGCATGTGGTATAGCAGGAAAATTTAGTTCAGCTGTAATTCTAAGATGTAGCTCATTGCAACACTGGTAATGGCAATATGTGACCCCAAATCAAATACCTATAAACTAAAGATTTCATGTTTGAAGATTTTGATTGTGAAATCTGATCATCACAATATCACTGTCTTTAACTATGCATGTGAATTCACTGCCTTATTAATAAAGGATAATTTTATTCCATTATTTGACCTCTAATTATAATCTCTGACCACCACATTCACCTGTCTGCACACCATACTGTAATTTCAGACAATCGGTCAGGGCTCTTGTAGACTGATTTCAGGGATACAGCTGAGAATACATGCCATAAGAAAATGTTATTAAATTTAACAAACTGACCATATCATATGTTATATATTAAATGCAACCTCTGTATGTTCAGATAGTCCTGTGCAGCATTAAGACACTTTAATTCTTTGTAGTCGCCATGTGCCGTGCATAAACTTTTGACATTTTAAAGCGACTATAATGTTATAAAACACTACGAGAAAATGATATAAAACGTTCTATTTTACAATAGTATGTTACAAAGCCAAGACTTTCTGTTCATTACTGAAATTAAAAGTCACTGCAACCATTTTTATTGATATCTAAAAAATGAAGAATGTAAACATTGTGGTCCTGATCTAATTCATACATTACCGCTCATAACCCTGATGCTGCGCATGCGTATAAGCCTAGAAAGAAGCAATATGGCAGACGCAAATATGAAAAAGGCGACGAGGACCTAAAAGTTACCTTACAGAAAGTGCCAGAACGTGTAAGAGGAAGGAGTCGGACCAGAAAAGAGGACAGGCAAGAATTGATATTTTTGGACTTTGATTATTCTGGGTATGGCTGGAGTTGACCACAGTGACCACTACTCACTACGCTACCCGAGCAACATACTTAAGGGAAACTTTACCTTTGTCTCTGACTGTGTTGTCCTTTTATATAATCAAACATTATGCCTGGTACTGGAGCCCCGGCTGGTGCGAAAACCAGAACACAGAGTAGCAGACAAAGTGACATTGGCTTGGAGAAAAAGTCTACTGATGAAAGACTGGATGAAATTCATAATATGCTATCTATGATGGTTACCAGAGACTTCATGGAAGCGAAGCTACAGGGTTTGAAACGAGACATAAAGCAAGATAACAAGGTGTTGATAGAGAAAATGGAAGGATGTATATATGTTCTAGAGACGGAGAACGATCACCTTAAGGAAAGAGTACGTCTTCTCGAGAGCCAGATTGACAGAATGGAAGTCAGATTCTGTGAACTAGAATTGAAACATAACGACCTAGAACAACATGGCCGGAAAAATTCTAAACGGATCGTAGGGATTCCAGATACTAAGGAAAGTAACACTGTTGAGGAATGCATTGAGAAAGTTGTGAACTTCGTATCGGGAACTCTTAAGGTGCCATTGGTTCCGACTGACATTTACATCGCTCATAGACTAGGGAGACACATGTCAAACAGACCAAGACCCATCATCGCCAAGTTCACCCACAGAATGAAGAAAAGGACCGTCTTACATACACGGAGGAGTTTGAAAAATTCAGGGACTGTGATCTTTGAGGACCTTACCAAGTCTAACCAGGGGAAATCGAGTGAAGCTTACAAACTGAATTGTGTACAGAACACTTACAATTTGGACGGCAAACTTTTTGCTATTTTTACAGACGGGCGGAAACGAAGACTTTCGTATAACACCATCATCATGGATGAGTTTCTGATGAACGATGCTAACATTCGCTAGTTACATGTGTGTTGATAAGGATATATAGTTCAGCACAGAACTACAGACAGACACCTTATGAGTGTCTAGCTAAACTTATCTCTGTATAGTTAGTCTGATTGTGAATAGTGTGTAGTTGTGGTGCAAATTTCTTTGTGATTGTGTGGATGTATTTTCGAACTCATCAATTTTTAGGATATTTACTTCCTCCTGCACTAAAAGGTAAGAATAATTGTAAACAAACGTGTAATTTGTACATATATATATATTTACACTTATCTATGCATGGTAGATAATTAATTTATGTTCTGTACGTTAAATACATAATGTAGTTCTAAATACCTATTTTTAGAAACAAGTTGTGCTCTATGTAAATTATACTATTAGGTATCTTACTAAATACTCCTCTATAGATAAAATAACATATTTTTATTGCGCCTGACAGCCAGAGTGTTTGTGAACGTTTAGGTCGTGTCACTACCGCCAGGTTTCTTCACTACACAGGTAGTTGATATTGTAAGAATTAAGTGCATACTAAACATGTATAATTTCAGTCCGTGATGATGATTGTTTTGATGATGAGGATGATGAATGCAGCAGTGCTGTATATGTGTAATAATTTTCTTATAATTGTATAATTGTCTACAATGTATTTGAAAATAAAAAAAAAAATAATTACAAAAAAAAAAAAAAAGAATTTATATTAGAAAGGAGATTGATAAATGGTGAACGATGAAGGAGGATCTTGGACTGAATGCAGATTCGGAATTTGTGAAACTGCTGCCTATAATTATAACATATCCGCCTGTCATTGATTATAATCCAATATTCAGTGTTTGACACGTGAATATGTTATGAACAACATTAATAAAAATGTTGTCTAAAAAATGTTGAATGAAAATAGTTGTGTTATTCACTTCAATTTACTTACGACAACGTGCGTTTGTTGTTGACTGTATGGTGGGCCCCAGTTGGAGGTATTCGTTTTAAGTGTAAAAAATATGATGGTACTGGTGTTACTTTAAGAATAACAACCGTGATGATAAACATAACCTTCATAATAAACAGTGTAATATCTATTAATGTTTACAGACAAAGTATCAATTCCTGTGCATTTCTGCACAATGAGTTTTTTTTTCCGATTGTAATTACCCCCTTTGGGGCCCCACAAGTTTAGGGCCACGATAAACATAGATAATTCTCGCACGACAAAGCCAAAACAAAAGGAATTACAGATATTGATTGTTAAAAATTATATATTATAACACTATAAAATCATTTACTGCAAACAAGAATTAGCAGAAAGGCGCAAAAGCAAGTGTCATACATATGACATGTGCGTTTGTTTACCTTTTAATCTTTTTTTTCTTTGAGGCGGAAGTAAATGACTGTCACGTGACAAGCCATGTGGCCCTCTTGGCTTTCGTCATAATCAACCGAGCATGAACATGTTTATTAAAAATAGTCAAGATAAACAATGATCAGACCCCGAAAATATGTACAAAAACAACAAATTTGACGTTAAAGGCGCGTGTATTGCTTATTATTATGGATATATTTTAATATTCATAAGCCGAATTCTCCATTTTGCAGTGTTGAAATCTAAGGTAATAGCCGCTTTAAACTTCTAAAGTTCCACCAGTGGGACTGAGCTGAAACTTGCATGAAATGATTCTGAGGATCCTGGTTACTTTTTGACCTTGTCAAAACTTTGACATGGCAGCCAGGGAGGCCGTTTTGTAACATGATTGCACAATCATGGTTTTTCCTGTGGAACACTTATTTCAAACTTCTCAAGTTGCACCAGTGGGATTGGGCTCCAATCTTGTCCAACTCCAGTATAAATTTTACGAAATTTTCACAAAAACAATATAACTTTAAGAGGCTGTCAACCAATTCCTATATATTCCTATGTTTTCCTATATTTTGATTCAAAAATCTATATTTTGAAAGACCTCCTATATTTCCTATTGTGTCTAATGGAATCTTTTGGTGTTAAATTTTGCTGTAATTCTCATGGAGGAGACTTTGGATTTCAGACTTATTTCTTGATAGTCTTTCAAGCAGAACCACAACATACTGATGCAAAAATTGCTCAAATCTGTCAAATATGAATTTAAATACAATGTACGTAATACATAACAATATTGTAATTAAGAAGTAAAATTTAAATGATTGAACTCTTGCTATCACACACTAGTAACAGTTCTTAATACACTTAGTACTGTACACAAGTCACAACCAAATTTAAGTTCATCACAAGAAATATTTATCTTGATATACTCCCCAATTATAGTCGAGTTCGAAACTTGTCACCCAACTTTTATTTTTAGCCCGTCATTATCAAATGGTGGGCTATTCAAATTATTTCATCCATGGTCATTAATATAGCAAATGATATTGCTGACAAGGTTTTAATCTAATGTTCCAAAAAGTGTATTAAGAAAGGAAACTGACTCAGATTTAGAGTTGAATACTGTCTGAACTCTTTACTGTCCAAAAATAGGTAACATTTGTTACGATTACCTACTGCTTACCAAAGCATCATGGAAAACAGCCTCTTAGTAAGATTTCATTCAAAGTAGAAAAAAATAACCCTTTTCCCTGCTGAAAGTTTTTGTTGTAAGATGACTGTTAAGGCCAGTGGGCCTCTTGTAAATGTATGCACACCTACTTCCAAGATTATAGATTTTGCTTTTATCCAACAGGGCCCAACTGAGTCTTCATTTCTGTCAACTGGAGTAAGTGTGGAAAGCTGCCCATTCAAAGCTCCGAAGATACAAGAGTTAACTGCCCTTAGGAAAAAGATAGAACAGGGTGAATGTCGTGTGGTAGAGAACATGTTCTGGGAAAACCCTCGTTTGCTTATCAGCAGTGGAGACACTCCTGTCATCTTACAGGTACAAGACAAAACCTATTGTCCTTTTTTATGACTCAGTATTTAGATTTTGTTTTATAATGAGACACTCCTGTCATCTTACAGGTACAGATATCTCTAGCTCTTGTCCTTTTTAATGACTGTTACCCCTCTATGTTGTCCTATCCTTATGTTATACAAAAGACCAGCAACAACCGTTCTCAAGTACAAATGTTGAGTATTAACACAAGTTACAACAATGATAACATGTATGGCCTGAGTATCGAGCTTAACAAAATTACTCCTTCCATGGCCACACCAGGACTGACTCTATTTGTTGTGATCTTACAGTTTATCCTAAAGTAATTATAATCTAATTCTGATAGGGAAAGTGTCTTCTACTGATCTACAATTAAACCGTGACCAGTTAATGTCTCACTGGTGGAGAGCATGTCCAGCCAATGTTTCACGGCAGGATTCTGACACTAAGGTGACCGCAATTAAACTATCTGTCTGATAAGCCAGACGGTCACATTAAGATTTAACACAAATTATGTTCTACACTTGAGTGACAAATTTCCCCATTAACAATGACCCAGTATTTAGATTATAGGGTTTATGATGAGATCCCCTCACAATCTTACAGCCGTTGCTTAGGACATATTATCCTATCTGATTATCTTGACATTTTGATTTGGTATAACTTATATGTATATACAATTCTCAGATTGTAATTAGATGTCCAACTTTGATTATGAGACTGATCAGACAGAGATAATATCACCTAGGTGTTAACTCTTAAATGTTACTCATCAAGTTTGTTATGGACATATATGAAGAAAACATGAAACATTCAGATGGTTGCAAAGGCAGGTTTGGCAGAAGATGTATATGGGAGCCATTTTTTCTAGCTCATATGTATTTTGACAAAATGTTCAATAAGTTTTTCTTTTTTACAATAGTGTCACCAATCGGATAAATCTATAATCATTTGTGCATGCCACATACAAACAGGCACCACAGAATTTGTTTTATCATGCTGGAGTGGAGTGTTATATCTCCAGAAATAAATTTAGTTATTGTGTTTGAATTATCAATGACTACTGTCACCGTCATCGGTGCGCATATGCTTCATTGACAAGTCGTCTGATGAAGGTGACAGTATAGTCATTATTGTTTTATGAAGGTATTGTCAACTTTGATTTTGTCTATTCTATTGTCTGAACTTTCTAGGAGAGTTCACGCTACAATGCCCTCCATGTGGCTGCCAAGAACAATCAGGCAGCCATGTGTCAACTGATCCTAGATACTCTGGAGGATCCAAACCTGATTGACAAGCTTTACGCTCACACCAATGAGACTCAGCTAACACGCACCAACAGGATCAACTTTGTGGTGGATCTATACCTCAACACTCCAGACAAAGGGGTAAGTGTGTCTATCTCAACACTACAGACAAAGGGGTAAGTGTGTCTATCTCAACACTCCAGACAAAGGGGTAATTGTGTCTATCTCAACACTCCAGACAAAGGGGTAAGTGTGTCTATCTCAACACTCCAGACAAAGGGGTAATTGTGTTTACCTCAACACTCCAGACAAAGGGGTAAGTGTGTCTATCTCAATACTCCTGACAAAGGGGTAAGTGTGTCTACCTCAACGCTCCAGACAAAGGGGTAAGTGTGTCTATCTCAACACTCCAGACAAAGGGGTAAGTGTGTCTATCTCAACACTCCAGACAAAGGGGTAAGTGTGTCTATCTCAACACTCCAGACAAAGGGGTAAGGGTGTCTACCTCAACACTCCAGACAAAGGGGTAAGTGTGTCTATCTCAACACTCCAGACAAAGGGTGTCTACCTAAACACTCCAGACAAAGGGGTAAGTGTGTCTATCTCAACACTCCAGACAAAGGAGTAAGTGTGTCTACCTCAACACTCCAGACAAAGGGGTAAGTGTGTCTATCTCAACACTCCAGACAAAGGGGTAAGTGTGTCTATCTCAACACTCCTGACAAAGGGGTAAGTGTGTTTACCTCAACACTCCAGACAAAGGGTGTCTACCTAAACACTCTAGACAAAGGGGTAAGTGTGTCTATCTCAACACTCCAGACAAAGGGTGTCTACCTAAACACTCCAGACAAAGGGGTAAGTGTGTCTATCTCAACACTCCAGACAAAGGGGTAAGTGTGTCTACCTCAACACTCCAGACAAAGGGGTAAGTGTGTCTATCTCAACACTCCTGACAAAGGGGTAAGTGTGTCTATCTCAACACTCCTGACAAAGGGGTAAGTGTGTTTACCTCAACACTCCAGACAAAAGAGTCATGTTAATCTGTCTACCTCAACACTTTAGAATAAAGTTTTTAACGAAGTTGAATCTTTGTATATTTTAGAGCTGTGAATCCCCTTTGCACTTTGCCTGTAAGTTTGGACACAAAGATGTTGTTTCTGTGATTGTATCGCATCCCAAGGTCGACCGGTTTTTCCGTAACAACTATGGTCAGACTGCTGCTGATGTAAGTAAACACAGCATAAACACTCATGCCTGTTGAATATCTGGTTCTGTTGAACATCAATGTGTATTGAATATCCATCTCAATTTAAAATCAATACATATTGAATATCAATGTTTATTAAACATAACCATATATAAATCAAATGCTATTGTATATTCATGTCTATTCAACATGACTGTCTTTCAGTATGAATCTGTATTTAATATCTTAGTCTCTTGAACATCACTGTTAATTGTGTATCAAAGTACACTGAACGTATATCTATTGAATATCATTGTCTTATGAACGTCAATGTTTATTGAATATCCTACTCTTAGGAACATCACTGAACATCATATTTGTTGAATTTTAGCATTTCTTCAATACAAATTGACTTTGATTGCTAATATCTGTTTACATTTTAATATCATTTAAAAACCAGTATTTGTTGAATATGGATTTTGTTTGAGAACCTATGTCTCATAATGTATTAGTCTTATAAGTTTCTGGAAAATCTACTTGAATTGAAAACCTATGTCTATTGAATATCCACTTGTGTTGAATACCCATGTCTGTTGAATATCCACTTGTTTTGAATACCCATGTCTGTTGAATATGTACTTGTGTTGAATACCCATGTCTGTTGAATATGTACTTGTGTTGCATACCAATGTCTGTTGAATATGTACTTGTGTTGCATACCAATGTCTGTTGAATACCCATGTCTGTTGAATATGTACTTGTGTTGAATACCCATGTCTGTTGAATATGTACTTGTGTTGAATACCCATGTCTGTTGAATATCTATTTGTTTTGAATACCCATGTCTTTTCAATATCTACTTGTGTTACATACCCATGTCTGTTGAATACCCATGTCTGTTGAATATGTACTTGTGTTTAATACCCATGTCTGTTGAATACCCATGTCTGTTAAAAACATCTGCCTTATTGATTCACTTTCATATAATTTTGGACAGGTGATTTGCAGTAGATGTACAGACCCAGATGAAAATTTGAAAGATGAGATTAAAGAATTATTAGAAGGTAAAATGTATTGCATATTATCACCTGTTTTTCTTGAGTCAAAGATGTCACTTTATACTGGGAGGATAAATTTATTTGTCTGTGAGTGAAAATACCTAAAGCAACATTGAAAGCTATTGATCAGATTATCTGGAGTAAAATAAGTTAAATTCAAAGTGGCTTTGGCTAGTGATAAGCATCCTATTTTATTAGCTTTGAAGTAATCAAGTTGGCTGACATAACCATGATAAATAGTTATGTGTCTATTGAACCTTGAGAAAGTTTTTCTTGCAGATTTATGTCTCTTTTGATACAGCATACAAAAGTGTAGGAATTTGTATCTTGTTAGGTCAGTATTATGTACCTCTGGTCAGGTCAGAGGACAACACAACACAGCCTGTGATTGGCCCTCCCTGGTCTCCAGACAGTAAGAATCCTGCCATGAATGTCCCTTTCTCTTCATGGAGCCCAAAGGATCCACTTATGGCTGTAAAGGCATGTGCAGGACCTATGACACCTTCAAGGGTATGTTAGATATTAGGTATCATAAGTATACAGGGGCAGCCTGTTTTTGGCTTTTTCATTTTTCATCATTGTTAGATAACTGTGAATTATCTATCAGAGAAGTAAGCAGTCTGTATACAGGCTTCAAGAAAATCTATCTTATTGTTAGGGAGTTGAGGAGTAAATGTAAGTCTAGGTGTGATTATTGAGTGGGATACATCCCCAAAGCAATCTTTCTCAAAACCGATAACCTCTCGAAACCAAACGAAATGGGATGTACTGAATGACATCCTCTTTAGGATAGAAATAATAAACTTCCTAATAAGGATCCTCTCAATTCCAAATACTGATCTAATTTTGTGTCCGAAATGATTGAATCATACTGAAATTCACCTTTGAAATCCGGTCTTACCTGAACACTTGCGTTCGAACTAGTGGACAGTGAAATCAAGACCTGTGGTGACCGTTGTAAGCTTTTCTCCCCCCGTACGCGAACACCTGTCATGGTAGGCTTTGTATACTATACCTACGGTGATCAGATTGATTACAATAAATATAATGTATAGTTATCTTTAATGACAAGTGACACCATATCTAATGAGTCTATCATTTCAGATCAGTCACACATGATCACAGAATGGATTAATTTCACCAAACTGGTAAATGTCAAAGTGGCAGTTTTGCATTAATCGTACCAGATGAATAATGGGAATTCACAGACATTGTATTACAGTCACCATGATCAGGTAGTCAGTGTCATAAGATCTCTGGCTGTATTACAGTCACCATGATCAGGTAGTCACTGTCATCAGATCTCTGGTTGTATTACAGTCACCATGATCAGGTAGTCAGTGTCATAAGATCTCTGGCTGTATTACAGTCACCATGATCAGGTAGTCAGTGTCATCAGATCTCTGGTTGTATTACAGTCACCATGATCAGGTAGTCAGTGTCATCAGATCTCTGGTTGTATTACAGTCACCATGATCAGGTAGTCAGTGTCATCAGATCTCTGGTTGTATTACAGTCACCATGATCAGGTAGTCAGTGTCATCAGATCTCTGGTTGTATTACAGTCACCATGATCAGGTAGTCAGTGTCATCAGATCTCTGGTTGTATTACAGTCACCATGATCAGGTAGTCAGTGTCATAAGATCTCTGTTTGTATTTCAGTCACCATGATCAGGTAGTCAGTGTCATCAGATCTCTGGTTGTATTACAGTCACCATGATCAGGTAGTCAGTGTCATCAGATCTCTGGTTGTATTACAGTCACCATGATCAGGTAGTCAGTGTCATCAGATCTCTGGTTGTATTACAGTCACCATGATCAGGTAGGTATTACAGTCACCATGATCAGGTAGTCAGTGTCATCAGATCTCCCATTGTATTACAGTCACCATGATCAGGTAGTCAGTGTCATCAGATCTCTGGTTGTATTACAGTCACCATGATCATGTAGTCAGTGTCATAAGATCGCTGTTTGTATTTCAGTCACCATGATCAGGTAGTCAGTGTCATCAGATCTCTGGTTGTATTACAGTCACCATGATCAGGTAGTCACTGTCATCAGATCTCCCATTGTATTACAGGTAGTCAGTGTCATCAGATCTCCCATTGTATTACAGTCACCATGATCAGGTAGTCAGTGTCATAAGATCTCTGGTTGTATTACAGTCACCATGATCAGGTAGTCAGTGTCATCAGATCTCCCATTGTATTACAGTCAACATAATCAGATAGTCAGTGTCATCAGATCTCTGGTTGTATTACAGTCACCATGATCAGGTAGTCAGTGTCATCAGATCTCTGGTTGTATTACAGTCACCATGATCAGGTAGTCAGTGTCATCAGATCTCTCATTGTATTACAGTCACCATGATCAGGTAGTCAGTGTCATCAGATCTCTGGTTGTATTACAGTCACCATGATCAGGTAGTCAGTGTCATCAGATCTCTGGTTGTATTACAGTCACCATGATCAGGTAGTCAGTGTCATCAGATCTCTGGTTGTATTACAGTCACCATGATCAGGTAGTCAGTGTCATCAGATCTCCCATTGTATTACAGTCACCATGATCAGGTAGTCAGTGTCATCAGATCTCTGGTTGTATTACAGTCACCATGATCAGGTAGTCAGTGTCATCAGATCTCTGGTTGTATTACAGTCACCATGATCAGGTAGTCAGTGTCATCAGATCTCTGGTTGTATTACAGTCACCATGATCAGGTAGTCAGTGTCATCAGATCTCTGGTTGTATTACAGTCACCATGATCATCAGTGTCATCAGACAGTCACCATGATCAGGTAGTCAGTGTCATCAGATCTCTGGTTGTATTACAGTCACCATGATCAGGTAGTCAGTGTCATCAGATCTCTGGTTGTATTACAGTCACCATGATCAGGTAGTCAGTGTCATCAGATCTCCCATTGTATTACAGTCACCATGATCAGGTAGTCAGTGTCATCAGATCTCTGGTTGTATTACAGTCACCATGATCAGGTAGTCAGTGTCATCAGATCTCTGGTTGTATTACAGTCACCATGATCAGGTAGTCAGTGTCATCAGATCTCTGGTTGTATTACAGTCACCATGATCAGGTAGTCAGTGTCATCAGATCTCTGGTTGTATTACAGTCACCATGATCAGGTAGTCAGTGTCATCAGATCTCTGGTTGTATTACAGTCACCATGATCAGGTAGTCAGTGTCATCAGATCTCTGGTTGTATTACAGTCACCATGATCAGGTAGTCAGTGTCATCAGATCTCTGGTTGTATTACAGTCACCATGATCAGGTAGTCAGTGTCATCAGATCTCCCATTGTATTACAGTCACCATGATCAGGTAGTCAGTGTCATCAGATCTCTGGTTGTATTACAGTCACCATGATCAGGTAGTCAGTGTCATCAGATCTCTGGTTGTATTACAGTCACCATGATCAGGTAGTCAGTGTCATCAGATCTCTGGTTGTATTACAGTCACCATGATCAGGTAGTCAGTGTCATCAGATCTCCCATTGTATTACAGTCACCATGATCAGGTAGTCAGTGTCATCAGATCTCTGGTTGTATTACAGTCACCATGATCAGGTAGTCAGTGTCATCAGATCTCTGGTTGTATTACAGTCACCATGATCAGGTAGTCAGTGTCATCAGATCTCTGGTTGTATTACAGTCACCATGATCAGGTAGTCAGTGTCATCAGATCTCTGGTTGTATTACAGTCACCATGATCAGGTAGTCAGTGTCATCAGATCTCTGGTTGTATTACAGTCACCATGATCAGGTAGTCAGTGTCATCAGATCTCTGGTTGTATTACAGTCACCATGATCAGGTAGTCAGTGTCATCAGATCTCTGGTTGTATTACAGTCACCATGATCAGGTAGTCAGTGTCATCAGATCTCTGGTTGTATTACAGTCACCATGATCAGGTAGTCAGTGTCATCAGATCTCCCATTGTATTACAGTCACCATGATCAGGTAGTCAGTGTCATCAGATCTCTGGTTGTATTACAGTCACCATGATCAGGTAGTCAGTGTCATCAGATCTCTGGTTGTATTACAGTCACCATGATCAGGTAGTCAGTGTCATCAGATCTCTGGTTGTATTACAGTCACCATGATCAGGTAGTCAGTGTCATCAGATCTCTGGTTGTATTACAGTCACCATGATCAGGTAGTCAGTGTCCAGATCTCTGGTTGTATTACAGTCACCATGATCAGGTAGTCAGTGTCATCAGGTAGAGATCTCTGGTTGTATTACAGTCACCATGATCAGGTAGTCAGTGTCATCAGATCTCTGGTTGTATTCTCACCATGATTGTCAGTGTTCAGACATTGTCACCATGATCAGGTAGTCAGTGTCATCAGATCTCTGGTTGTATTACAGTCACCATGATCAGGTAGTCAGTGTCATCAGATCTCCCATTGTATTACAGTCACCATGATCAGGTAGTCAGTGTCATCAGATCTCTGGTTGTATTACAGTCACCATGATCAGGTAGTCAGTGTCATCAGATCTCTGGTTGTATTACAGTCACCATGATCAGGTAGTCAGTGTCATCAGATCTCTGGTTGTATTACAGTCACCATGATCAGGTAGTCAGTGTCATCAGATCTCCCATTGTATTACAGTCACCATGATCAGGTAGTCAGTGTCATCAGATCTCCCATTGTATTACAGTCACCATGATCAGGTAGTCAGTGTCATCAGATCTCTGGTTGTATTACAGTCACCATGATCAGGTAGTCAGTGTCATCAGATCTCTGGTTGTATTACAGTCACCATGATCAGGTAGTCAGTGTCATCAGATCTCCCATTGTATTACAGTCACCATGATCAGGTAGTCAGTGTCATCAGATCTCTGGTTGTATTACAGTCACCATGATCAGGTAGTCAGTGTCATCAGATCTCTGGTTGTATTACAGTCACCATGATCAGGTAGTCAGTGTCATCAGATCTCTGGTTGTATTACAGTCACCATTATCAGGTAGTCATTGTCATCAGATCTCCCATTGTATTACAGTCACCATGATCAGGTAGTCAGTGTCATCAGATCTCTGGTTGTATTACAGTCACCATGATCAGGTAGTCAGTGTCATCAGATCTCCCATTGTATTACAGTCACCATGATCAGGTAGTCAGTGTCATCAGATCTCTGGTTGTATTACAGTCACCATGATCAGGTAGTCAGTGTCATAAGATCTCTGTTTGTATTTCAGTCACCATGATCAGGTAGTCAGTGTCATCAGATCTCCCATTGTATTACAGTCACCATGATCAGGTAGTCAGTGTCATCAGATCTCTGGTTGTATTACAGTCACCATGATCAGGTAGTCAGTGTCATCAGATCTCTGGTTGTATTACAGTCACCATGATCAGGTAGTCAGTGTCATCAGATCTCTGGTTGTATTACAGTCACCATGATCAGGTAGTCAGTGTCATCAGATCTCTGGTTGTATTACAGTCACCATGATCAGGTAGTCAGTGTCATCAGATCTCTGGTTGTATTACAGTC